AGTCAACATTTATCTTTTACCCAGTTTTAGGTTATTAAGGCATAACATAATCAAGTTTTAATATTCTCTTTATTCAGGGTTATTGTGGAAGCAGTGCAAGAAAATAATGAAATTATCTCTAAATAAAGTCAACAATATTGCATTTTATATAATATGTTTTCTTATTTTATCTAGTAAATAAAATCTCTAAATAAATTCTCTAATATTTTGGTACCGTGACTACTTAAATTTTTAGAACAGAATCATGTCCCCAAAATTAAAAATTATTTTGCAGTGCTGTATTAAACAGATTTACAGGCCCATATCCATATCACCTGTTTTTCATGAACAGAGTAAAAAGTATATTTTACAAAACTTTCAACCGACCAGTTTCAAAGGAAACCTCAACGTACAAATTCCAGGATCATTATTTCCTTAACTTCTAGGCATACCTACTTTGAAAGGAAAAAAATCAAAAACTGCTGCGAAACGTATCGTTTTTGAGATGAGATAGCTCTACTGACTCTTCCGTGAACGAAAGGATCATTAAGTTCGCTGCTTCATGCTTATGCTTTATCAAAATGCAGAGTTTAATAATATTTAGGACATTTCTAAACTTTGCAATTGCATCTTCTGTGTTAAAATCTCATATATGCGTTATTCCCTTTTTCTAACACAATCAAAGCAAAGCAAGTTGCATTATCACTTTTCGAATGCATCCTATTCGAGTCACATTAAATGCAAAGATTTAGTAACACGCACGAAATCTGTGAAGTATTACATAGTTAGAAGTTATAAGCAGACTACTTTGCGCAAATGCAAAATATTAAAAAAAGAAAATCTTGCTTAACAACTTCCTTCAAACTTAAACTGAAAATCAAAAACATGATATAGCATTTACAAAATTAAATGCAAGTTTCTATTTAATGGGAGATAAATATCTTTACTATGATACTGTACACGAACATTTGTTTCATAGACATCCTTCGCTATTAACACAATTGAAAATATGGTTGATATGCCACATTTTCAAATTCCTGTTTCTTGAGATGTTTTATAAAATGCTTCAACCTAAGATTAAAACTCAGCATTTAGCTTATATTTGTGAATATTAAATATAATAAAATTCTATGAAATGCTATTTATGTTTCCCGGAAATCAAAGGAATAAAGAAAAAAGTATTATATGTTTCATATTTTAATAAGGTATGAACTAACCAAATGGAATTTTATTGTACTTGACATATAATTGAGATCTTCGTAAATTGCGTATATGTCAAATATTTTCAATATAACTCTTATGGTTATTCATGCTTAAAATATCCTTTGCTATGTTTTCTTTATTTTTAACGCTTTTTATTCTTGTTTATTCATCTTTTATAAAATGGTTTTCAGATACTTATGTGAACGTGGAAGCTATTTAAATCCGAGCAATAAAATGCTAGAAATGTTCAAAGAAGGAACTAGATTTTATTTGACGAAAAGAATTGGATTCCCTATGAGTCCTATTCAAAAAGAATATTGATTGCATGGTATGCGTCAAAAGCCCTTAGATGCTCTAGTTCAGTATATAGACATCATAAGAAATGGATAGACAAAAAAATTCCTTGTTGTTTACGGAACCCGAATTAACTGTTAATGTTTATTAAAAGAAATTCTTTTCATTTCCTTTTCTTTGAATCAGCTAAAATTATTGCTACAGAATGTTTGTTTCCAGTTTTTAGCCTTTACTTTAGAATAAGAAAGTAACTGAGCATCTAATTTGAAAAGAAACAGCCCAATGTAAAATTTAAAATTATGGAAAAAAATCAATCTTAAATTATTCATTTCTGCACTGGTCCAAGATTGCTTTCCTGACTGATCTTAAATTGAACAACAGCTTAACAATTACAGAGCACACCTTATATTATGTTACGAAACAAAAGATTCCTATTTTCCCTTAGCCAGTTATTTGTAAAAATGTTACTAAAGAGCATCAACATACTTCTTAATAACATTCTTTCATTTCTTAATGCTTTTGGGTAGAAAAGTTTCATTAAGAATTGTAAAACATAAAGTAACTTTTCTATGTGCCAAAAAAAGTTCCCAAATTATAAGACTCCATTACATAGATGCCATTACTTTTCCATAATTAATGTCATATATCCATATGTTCTACCGTAATCTCATACATCCATGTATGAATTTATATACTAAGTCTTAATTATCTGACATTAAATGTAAAGTATTATATTTACGTCAATAAATATGACATAGGCTAAACTATAACACTTTGTTTTATATATTTCTGTTGTGCATTTCGAAATTTAATAATTGTTATTAATACATTCATTTCGATTGGAAAACTAATTCTTTAATGAAATTATACAAGCATATAATAGTTTCAATCGTTTTACAGTAATGTGAATAATAGCATGTCTAAGCAAGGGTGAATTTGTCACGGCATCTGTAAGTGAGCTGAGCAGAAAACAGGAAAATTTTCAAAAAGAATGTAAAACAGGATCGGGATGTTTTAATGATATTAGGTCGTACACCTTCGGTTTCGCCTTCTAATTAGAAAAGGAGACACAGACTCAAGTGATAAAAACTAATCACACGAGAAGAAAAATCGAAAAGTTTCTGCGGCAAATCCCTGATATAAAGTGATCATAAAATAATACAAGATTTTGTTTTGCCAAAATTCAAGTTCATAGAAGTGTACTAAACTGATTATGCTCTCGAAATTTTACAGATTGTTATATTCCTGATAACTGACCGTATGTCAGTACCAAGGGTGATTTGAGCAAATCCAAAGAGGGAATTTTAAGCCCCCAAAGTGGCCAAAATGTTTGTTTGAATTAAAGAACATTTAATAATGGAACAAAAAATATTTGTTTGAATGAAAAATACTTTATTTAAATCAGAAAGCGTTTCTCATGATACTTTTAAGCACATGCATATGCATCTTGAAAGGTATCCAAGCAATTAAAGATAGCATAAATACTGAAAGAAAAGAAATGAAGGTACGAAGCAGGAGGGTTATTTTAGAATTATATTCCAGAACATACCATTTAATCGTGGCTTTATTTGGTAACTTAAGGACTTCAGGACCGAATCCTTGGACAATTAGAGGGCTTTGAACATAAGCATTAAAGTGGACAACTGAAGAAAATAGATGATAATTAACTGAGGATACTGAGAGACTAATATATGTATGACTAATAAAAAATAGATGAACGGCTTCAATGTTTATACGTTAGGTAGGTTAGGTTTTTTTTTAACATGACAAAGAAAACGAGGGCTAGCTGTCTAAGAAAAGGGATGGCTTTGTGGAGGACATTTTAACAAAAACTGGGTCACATTCAAGTGACAGAACGTTAAAACCACAAACGTTAACCATGCAGTGGGCCCTACTGCCTAGGTCCGAACTTGAATCAAATATCAGTATTCGGAGGCCTTAAATAATGTACACAGTAAGTAGTAGTATATGAGGTAAAATGAATAGGAAAGCTGTGTTCAACTACTTTTTTAGATTCCAATTTTATGTACCCAAAAAATATAGTAGAGCCTTGTTTAAAGCAAGCCATGACTAGATATGATAAAAATATTCTTTATGTTAATATAATATAAAAACTGCAATGGTTAAGCCCAAATGAGAAACAAAATCTCTGAAAACCAGGTTTGGATGTAAAGAAGATTTTACTTCACATATGGTCTGCGCGGTATGTTTTGAAAGGCTGCAAAATAACTAAACCAATTAGTGGAGACATATTGACTACAGGTAGATAACTTGAAGCAGTCTTTAACGATAGAACAATTTGTATTGATTGAAAAAATGACTCTCCATCAGAATAACGCCAAATTGCGTACTGCAATAGTGTCTTTACAAAAGATTAGTAATGGAATATTCTCACTCATTATCCTGACAATTTGGTTGCGCTCTATCCACTTAATATTTGTTAAAGTCTTAATGCGTTTTCTTAACAGAGAAAGCTTTTAAAGTAAGTAGTGGATCCAAAATATAATAAATGAGTATTATAAGGCGAAAGATAAAGAATGCTTCATAAAGGAAATTAAAAAATTGTGTGAAAGACGAGAAGAGGTTAGATTAATGAATAAACTTATCCTTATAGTTTTCTCCCACCTCAATTGCCAGCTCAATAATGTTTTATTTATGTTCAGCCTGATATAAATTGAGGAAAACAAGAAGCCTTCGTCGTTTACTAATGTGAAACTGAAGGAAAAAACTTCTGAAGGTTTTAAGTTCTTTAACGATTAAGTTTAAACAAAGATTAGAATTCGGTTTATTAAACAGTATAAGAAGGATTTTATTAATATGTTAATAAAAGAGGTTTGGCGGCAGAAAACTTAAAGAATATTCTTACGCAATATATTATTTTTCAATTTTCTTTTCCTTTCTCTTCTTTAGCATACAAATTTAATGCTCCTTGTTCTTTAATGCGAAAGTTTAAAGTTCGCTTATGTTGATCCGATGTATATATGATAAGGCACACTGAGAAGCAAATTAGAAATATTCCAAACTCTCGCATCTGAGAATCGGTGGACAAGATTAAAATTGTGTCCATTAGAAGCAAAAATCGCATGAAAGTTAGAGCTAAGAAAAACACGTGCAATTAATAGTTAATCGAAGCATGAAATGGTACAGATTTCAAGTTCATATAACCATTCGGAAAGAAATAATGTTTTTTCTTCCATGAGAGAAACGTTTCGTATTTGCACTGGTACATGGTGAATGTTTTACAAATGATCAGTTTTCGAGGAAGCTGAATGTAGCAAAAAGGACTAAAAGGGTAAGCTAAACACAGTACAGGCCTTGGAGATGAGATACAGGTAATAGTGAGCAGAATAAAATATTCTCAATTAATTTCAGATTTACAGAAAATTCTTAAAATTTCTCTAGCATAGAAATCCAAAGAAACATAGAAAAATAATCTAACAGACGCTCTGTATTTAAGTGTTTAATCCAGAGTGTACTATAATGAGACCATTATAATAAAATCCGAAAAATAAGCAGGTACTTACCAAACCATCTTGAGAACAGCCGAAATCTGAAGTAATGTAGACAACGTAGGTCTCATTGTTAATTTCAAAAACCATTGGTTTTATTAATTCTCACCAATTGTATTGGCCTAGAAAGAAAAATAAATTTCACATATTAAAAATATTAACTTTCATTATGCATGAAATGCCCAAACTCTTATACAAAAAATCTGACGATCTTACACAAAATCTTAAAATTATATGTGATTCAGATTCTATTTCAAGTAACAGAATAATGATATCTAACATGAATTATGTTAAATGCCGTTTTAAAAGTTAGCTGAACTATCATAATATAAAACGTATTAGGTATTTGACCAAATATATTTCACCAAAAAAGCCGTAATAAATTTAAATACGATTATTTTTAGCTTAAATAAGAATCATAACTGTCGTTGAATATGGTTCCTGAGCAGAATAAAATTTCATATTATTAGCTTAAAAGGGCTATTAGTCTCAAAACGACATTCTTTGTCGTCCCGTATAAACGGCGGATCAAGTTCCAAATTGTTGTCACCAAATATTATCCCCTGTATTATTTTTAACGAAAATAAATGATGAAGAATCTGCATGTATTTATGTATGTTCCTTGCATTGTGAAAAAACGACTGTATCTAGAGTCGTCAAATTTGGAAAAACGTAATCCTCTACTCAAGTCTGTGCACATGGAAGCCCTAATTCTAAATTTAGAATTTTATATTTCATATTTTATAAACTTTAAAAGCATTTTTTATTAAAAAAACTCAAGGATTTGAAAGCGACTAGTGGCAACACTGTACAGAATAAAATATGTTTATCTTCAGCACGCGAGACTGTCTATCAGAAGTTCTAAAGTTATGCTGTTTCTAAAAATTTTGCTATTGAACTGGATTTTATTGGCGTAGACGCGAAGAACGTAGTACTTAATAAATAAAGTAAACACACAAACGTTAGTAATAAAAACACACAAAAAAGTTTCGCAAGCCATCTTTTTAAGTAAACTGACTATAGATATCTTGAACTGAGAAAAGAAAATATATATATAAATCTATGCCAACACTTAACCTGCATCGAAAATTATAAACGTATACTGCTATTAAAATTTTTAGAATTATGCTATTAAATTGTATATGACGAAGTGTGAAGAAAATGTTGCTTAATATTGACTAAAGAAAGAATGTTGAAGAAGAAAATGTTGTTTAATAATAGCTAAAAGGGCAAAAAGAAATATATTAGCAGGAGTGAGTTTAACAGCAGACGGGCAAACCGCGAGTTCAGCAAGGGCGTAAGAAATCCTTAGCAAATCCGTTTCGACGACCGTTAAAAATCTGAAAGCTTTCAGACTTTTGTTTTTCAGAATTTAATTATTTATTCAAGATTTAGCATTCAGATAATATATGTATTGACAAATATATGTGAAAATATAAAAATACAAAATTACGAAATTTCATAGAAATATATTTTATATTTATCTAAGAAGAATCGTTAAGTGAGTAGCTTACTAATATCTTGGGAATTAGTCATAGATTGGAAACACATGGGAAATTTCGACATGTGTAAGATATAAAAGAAAGATAAAATTTGCCATTGTATTTACATAATGATTCCTATAAACCGTATCCACAAAATACATACAGTAGCATTTATTTTTGAAAACATTGGTCGTAAATATAGCCTTCCAATTAAAAATGCTTTAAGTGATGCAAACATTCTTATTTTGGAATTTTCAATTTTTAAATTTCAATTAAAAAAATTTAAAAACATAATATTTATAATATGCAACTGTTCGCAACAAGATCCAACTGTTACAAGTGGGGATTTATACTTAGTAAAATGTATACTCATCAAAATAAACCCCAAAAATAAAATGTTTGTCTTGAAATAAAGTTTAACCGTAGTGTTTAAATTTCAGAATTCGCCATTTTTATTTAGATTTACTCGAGGGGTCGGCTGAAAAATAAGTTAGAATAATTTTCCCTTTGTTATCATTTTTTGAGTTTCTTTTTGATTTATGAGTGGAACATTTCTTAATTTATAATTTGCTTTCATATTTTGAAACGAAAGAATTTTCATGCAAATAATTTACACGTTTCTCAGATGCTAAAATAGGTTATTAATACTCTAACGTAGTTTTATTACTTTAGAAAGATAATATAATAATCATATAAAAATTAATTAAAGTAGAAATATTTTAAATTTTTAATTTATGCAAATAATGCTACAAGTTGATTGTGTGACAATACCGAAGCCTGATACGGTTTTCTAGAACTCTAATGCTATAAAATTCTGCGAATAAGGTTTTCTTTTAAAAGAAATTTTATTGACGGCGGTTTGCATAGCAATGTTTTTCATTTAATGTATTGATCTCAAAAACACATATTACTAAACACATGTTTCATTTTTAGTTACATGTATATGTAAATATTTCACTTGCCAGTTATAATACGACCTCTGAACATGAGCTCAAACATGAAATAACACACTCAAGTTTATAGTACAGGAGTCAAGCGTTTCCTATTTTTCCCTCTCTGAGATTGAGCATAAATCTTCACTAGATATAACTATAATAACTATAGAATCGTATAAAAAGTTTGATTTTGTAAGTATTATAAAATATTTTTTAATGTTTGAAATTTCTATAACATAAATGCTAGTATGATCCTTATCTAAAGTAAATGTGTAATCAGGAGTATACCGTCTTCTATAACCGCCTTTTAAGGTCACGTTTATGCCATTTTAATGACGCTTAATTAAAATGGTATAACCAAGGTGCCATATTTCTAAGCATTGTTAGCTACTCAAATATTTTATTTGTCTACTTTAAAACTAATATAAAACTGAAGGTATGTGTTTTGGTATTACAATAGAAAATGTTATTGCTAAAATGCATTCATATTTTATTATTCACATTATAAAAGGAAGAATTAACAAAAAGTCAAAAGCCAAAAGCCAAAAAAGCCCCAAACGAGAAGACAAGATATCTACAGAACTCCGTCTCATTGTTAATACTTACCTCTCAATGTCTGTCCACTTCAACATTTTTAAGCGTTGCTTGTTCTTATACATTTCAGTTACTGTTTTTCTAAAAATTGCTTTTTTAAACTTTTTCTTACTGTTGCCATTTACCATTTTCTGATATCTCTTCTGCCGTGACCCCACGCTTGAAAGCCGTTGGATTACAATGGCAATTTAGAATTCTGTATTTATTTAATTTTTAATTCCAATAACGTTTTCTGACTATTAATCAAACATTGCAAATCTAAAATTGAATCTCATGGAAAATACCGAAGAATGAAGGGGCACGGAATATTCTAGAATGTTGGACTAAGAATCATTTACATAATTTTGCTTTTTCTGAAATTTCGGAAGAGTTGCTCCAAATTACCTCGGAATTCGGGAACTCCTAGAAGGAGGAATGGATTCTTTTCAGAAAGCTTTCCCTTGTCATGGGAAAGTGAACATGAACTGATTCTCTTTGCCATTTCTGGGCTTGACGATGTGATACAACAATGAATAAATACCTTCGTATCGAAGAAGAAGAGGGAACAGAATGCATAGACAGCAAAACCAGATATCTTGGTGGACGGAGAAATCCAAGAAGGGGCTGAACACCTTTAGAAACTTCCAAAAAAGGAAATTCAGCTAAAATAGCCTTAGTGCTTCTTGTCTGATGAATATCTTAACACAATTACGTGACTATATAAAAGAGGCGGCAAGCTCATTTCGAAGGTATAGTGACTGTGTAGGGTACCTTCGAATTTTCATTTATATACCTGGATATTTGGCAATCTCGTGGTTTCTACGAGTTCTGTCTGAAGGTTTAAATGTTTAAGGACTAAGCCCTGTGGGAGACATAAGAGCTAACTTGCAGTTCGAAAACATTCGGTACAAAGCTACGACTGGTGGCTTCTAATAGTGGCTGTTTTAATTCCTTTGTCTTCAGCAGCGTGGACAGCACTTTCAGTATTTAAGCATTTTGAAATAATTGAAGCCTCAAAAACGTGCTGTGGTGTAAATTTTTCTTTTTAATATGGTGAAATTCTAGATACGAAAAAGCGAATGAGCGGATTAAAAGAGAATTTTTTGAGTTAGAATCGGGAACACTCCTCCCAACACTGAAAGCAATTTTTCAGAAATGTGTTTAACTTTCTAAATTGCATACCTTATATTGGCCTTAGCTCTTCCTATAATCTGCAATAATATTATTTATCGCTTCAAAGAGATCTGAGTGGTTTAAACCCTTCATACGGGCAGTTCGATCTTTATCGAACTGAGAAAACTGAGTTAATTCCGTGGATATTTTTCGTACTTTCCCGGTGTGTAACACGAATATAAAAAGATTTCTCTTATACTAAAACCCTCCACGAAGGTATCCTTCCTCTTAAGCAAATATTCCTCGGGATTTTTACCAATCAGATTATCCAAACCACCAAAACTAAATATCGGCATTTTTAAAAATGTTTCTGAAGTATTTCTTAAAACCTGCCGAAAAATAAAGTTGTTTCACTCCAAGATTTTAATTCCACATAGATGAAGAAAGCTGCTAAATATTGATTTATGCAAAATTTAACAAAAACCCTTTTTGTCGGTGGCAATATAATGAGCTAGTTCTCTTTCTACGGAGCGAATAGTAGACAAAATTCCATTATTTCCATTCTTTAATGCTATGCTGTTTTTGTTTCCTTTTTCGAAACAGAGCAGTTTGTATGTAAGGATTACATTGCTCGATTTATAAATGTGTTGCGTATTTAAAGATAATTCTGATAAAATAATCATAGCATCGAAAACTCCTTTTGTTGTATTTAAAATAAAGAGCTATGTATATTATTTAAAAAAACTCACTTTAGACCGCCTATCGTACAAGAACCATTAACGATTTACTCATAATTATTAGCTCCTAGAGCTTTTATTATGCCATATATAGTTAATGTTATCCATTCAGAACATCCGGTTAATAATTCAGCATTGATATTCTCTAAACAGCTGCTCATCCGATTTCTAAATGCACTTAAAATGCCATCTAAATCAAACTTATCAAACATTTGACACTGTAGATGACGCTAAGTGAGGCTTTTAACGAAATTTCCATCTAACCATACAGGAAGCAAAT